CTCTACATCACTGGGTTTATGGAAACATCATAGCACCGCAACAGGCGGTCAAATAAAATGATTTCGTATTGCAGAGAGTAGTTGAGAGTCATTTTAGAATAGTAGCTGGCCATAAGCGGTGAAATGAGCTGTACCAAACCGAGGAAGAAAGCAATGTTGAAGAATTTCATAGAACTGCTTATGTCATAGTAACCTCAATCAGAAGACACTATTGAGACAACCACACTTCAAAAAAGGAGGGAGCAAAGGGAGCGGAGCCGAGTGGTTAGTGATGCTCGGCACGGTATTGATCACACCAACATCCCCCGGCCACCATCAAGGCACGCCCCAGCCTGGCTATCCGCGAGACTGCAACGAGATCTGTCCCACCAATACTCTACGTTAACGAAGATGATGAAATCTTGAAGCAAGAGATGAAAGCGAGGAGACGATTCAGAAGCTCAGTATACTGGATTCATACAAAAGAACATGGACACGGGTCATACGAAATGGAATAAAAAAATCAATAAGTATTGAGTACATGGTTTGGGTACTTATATGCTAAGCGGCGATAAATGAATATTCGAACTCATTTACTGAACAAAATTTTTTTTATAGGAGTACTATTCGTATGAAAGAGCGTATGTGGCACAGTGGTTAGAGGTGCACTGTGTCGCCACACGAGGTCAATGTTTCGATCTCGCGCTCATAGCTCACCAGCCATCCATCCTCTTCGCGATCGGTAAATTGGTACCAGACTTGTCTGGTAGGGTATGCAACACTGACTCGGTTCAGGCGGAGGCCACCGCGAGTCACTGTAAAGGCTAGATATGCATTCAATCACCTCAAGCGAAGTTAGAAATTGAAGACGAATGCATGGCGCATCCCTCGGAGATCGATCAACGCCGAGAGCTTTATTATCATTATTATTGTTATTATTATTATTATTAATCATTTAAAAGCTCAAATCTCTGGTTACGAATCTTACGGGCCGGTTTTCAAAACGCCCTTTTATAACAATGTAAAATCTAAAATAAAATTATATAATAGTAAGAATGTAATAACCATGATAAAATTATATTTTACAAAATCACTCGCTTTTTCTCCAACCTCGCCTACATCTCGCTGGACAAAACCGCTTCATTGGGCTACTAGTATTGTTTCGACAGATAGGTCTCAAAGAACTCAAAAATGTGTTTACTTTTTGTATAAGCTCTTTTGGAAGTGCCGTAGAAGATCTTTAGACTATTAATAACCATTCGATAGCGTAGGTTTCAGTGATTCCAACGATGCGCTCACTTTTTAGGAAAGACAGCCTCACTGCAGTGTGGGAGGGAAAATAGATCAAATTTCACATGCTCGGAGCTCGGAGAACTTCTTACCGGCCAACTCACGGAGGGGAGAAGGGGGGGGGGGGGGGGGGTGAGGCGGTGCGGTCCGATCGATCCGGTCTAGATATGTGGAGTATAACTTGTTTTCAATTGGGAAATTTTCTCTCCGCTTTGAGAGAATCCCCACATAAAACGACTCACTAAGAAACTACGAAATTTTCCCTACACATTCATATGCTTTTTGTGCTTCCAATAGGATTATACGTGTGAGAAAAAAAATTTTTTTTGAATGCTAAAGCATAATATTAGGCTCTCTTCAAAATCGGTCATGTACGAACGACTGTAGTCAGAGATTTAAGCTTTGAATGATTACTAACATTCCTATGAAAAATTCTTGTCCAGCGAATGAGGTCGAATATTCGTTCATCGTCGTCTAACATATAAGAAGTGAAGTTTATAAAGACATTGGGTTGGCAAAAATTTTTCCGGACCTTTTCAATCTTTGTCGATTATTTCTCATGTATCCTGTTGTTACTATTTGAGCCATATGTCATGTGGTCTGTTGAATGGACTGACATATAGAGTTCGATACACGTGTTTCCACCATTAATGTTGGCTCTAATAATAATGACGAGATATCTCGAAATTTGAGTGTGGTCTTAAGAAAGCACTCGAAACTAAAGGTATTACACATCCACAATACCAGCCAAGAGCAATCGAGTACACAACACTGGGTGTTCAGTAGTAATTTCGCTGACATACAGTGTAAAATGTTCGTCGTCGCCTACTCTTAGCATAGGGGACTGAGCACTCCGAGGGCATTGGCTAAAGACGAACGGGTACCGCTCGACTGATGAGACCGTCAAGGTCGAAACACGTGTATCGGGCTCGATAAGTCAGCCCATTTAACAGACAGATGATAAGTTGGGTCAAATAATAGTGACGAGATATGTTAAAATTTGAGCCTGGCCTAAAGAAAACATTCAAAACTAAAGGAATGATATTTCTCATGTATTTCAGTTTTTGTTTAACTATAGTCTAAAGCATAGAGTGGTGGGCAAAATCACGGCCTCATGCAGGGATCGAACCCGCGTTTCATCCTATCCGAGAACGTGTGCTCTCACGACGAGCTCACGCGTCTCCGGACAGAATGAAACGCGGGTTCGATTCCCGCCTAAGGCCGTGTCTTAGCTCACCACTCAATTCCCTCAGGAATATATGAACGATCATAATACTGTGAAAAATGCTGTAAAACACTAGAAATCTCAAACATCGTCTAGAGTGGCTTCTTGCGCTTATTTTGATATAAAAAACTCATACATTTTTCTTGAAAATGAAATTGTCTCGAAAGCAAAAACGATTGTTTATGCTACATGAGTATCGTTTGGATTCAGACTTTTTTTTCTGGTTTCTTTTTTTTTTGCTTTAGAAACGCAACGATACTCGTTGGCATACAATCGTTTCTGCTCTCGGGACAATCTCAACTTGAGACAACAGTAAAAACAAAAACTCAAATGCATGAGATATAATCCGAAATCATTTTAGTTGACCAATATTGCGATGTTATGACGTTTCTATAAACCCAATAATGTAGAGTGGTGTGCAAAAACGTTTGCGTCAGCCGGATTCGAACCCAGATCTTACTCTTTCCGAAAGACGTGAGAGTAAGATTTAGGTTCGAATCCCGGCTGACGCAAACGTTTTTGCATGAGAAATAGTCAGACAAAACGAGAAAGTCCGGGTAATTTTTCGCCAATTCAAACATTTAGAAATATTTTTATTCCTTTTTCATTTACATCACCCCTTATCACACTTCTTTATTGTGGCGGATCCCAGTACTCCTAGCATTCGCTTCGTTTTTCGCTTTCTTCTAGAATAACTCAAAAAACTGATCGAGCATGTCTCCTTGCGATCTTGAGGATAGCCTGACTGTGGCGTTCCACAGGGGCGTTCTTGCTGACTGCCGGAGAGTTTTGAGGGCTGGAGCTCGACTCCACGTGCGCCGCGACGAGCATCACAACCACTCGGTCACAGCGCCCCATTCAGAATATTAAGGAATAATAAGCGAACTAGCATCTGCCTAGCTATAGTCGTCGACTACTTAGACCATGACCAGGCCCGCCCAAGCGACTCTCCTGTGGAGTTGTGAAAAAGCACCGAGCAATTCGATAAATGGGACAATCTCCCCTCACATTTCACAGTCGGTCATTATGGAATTATTGCCCCTAATTGGTCACTACTTGTCCCACAATTGGTTGGGAGAACTATACAACATGGGGAAGAAGTATGAGGCCTTTAAAGCAGGTTAGTTCTCCTTGAAATATTTTGTTAATTTTTTGGAAATATTGAAAAAAATTTAGAGCACCAAGAATTGAATTTCAAAAAAAATCAATGATAGCTTTCTTCTATGATTCAGCTAAAACCACAGGCCGAACGAAACCTCTTAAAACAAGTCCTGGATATCAGCTAAATCATAGAAGAAGCCGTTATTGATCGGTAAGATCGATATCAAAGGATGGTCCTTTCTCGAGATAAATCAATAATCGATTAGCTTCAGCTAAGTACACACGACATAAACGACTTCTAACTAGTCACTAGAACATAAAGACGAGATCTACAAATAAAAAAAAAAGAATAAAAGAAAGAAAAAAGAAAAAAAGAGAGAAAAAAGAGGAAACTAAGACTAAAGCTATATCTCGCAGTAGTTGGACTCTTAAAAACTAAGACCCGAACCAATTTTTACTTTCTCAAATTATACAATCCGACCTCTATTAGAAGACTTTATGAGAATCCCTAGGGGCAACTAAGCCTGGAAAAACCAGCTTTTTCTCTTCCACCGACCTATTTCAGGCTTATTTTTCAATAAATATGTAAATAAACAGGTTATTTTCCATACGGCATCAAAAATATTTGCAACTTCTCTTCGTAATTTCATAAAATTCTAATGAATTTCTGATCTGATGACCTTTTAGCTTTTAAAATTGACCCAAAACACCTCAGAGCTATGTTGGTGCTAGCAAAATAATAAAAATTATAGCTAGATTTCGATATTTTTAATAATTTTGAAGCTAAGTCACCGATAGAATCGGTGATAAAATGAAGAAATAATAAGATTCCAAACCCAATGATGATGTAGAGTGGTGTGCAAAACGTTTGCGTCAGCCGAATTTGAACACAAGATCCTACTCTTTCCAGGAGCATGTGCTAAACCGTTGCACCACCGACGCTCGTTTTGCTGATCCAGAGAAGACCTGGGTTCGAAACCCGGCTGACGCAAACGTTTTTGCACACCACTCTACATCATTGGGTTTGTAGAAACAACATAACACCGCGATAGGCGGACAAATAAAGATGATTTCGAATGAAATTTCAATTTCAAATTATAAATAAAACTTCAGTCAATAGAAAAAATCGTTACAGACACAATTTAAGACGCACAGCGAGGACGAAAAATGGTGGATTTTGTTTTATTTTCCACAGATAAATAAGAAATAGTAATAAATTTACGATGTCTCCACTCCGGATTTTGTGCTCCGTCGCGATTTTCACGCACGGTTGCGAATCCACTTGGTATTTTCCTATTTGAAAATCTTTTAACCCTAATAAATCGGCCCAAATCAACCCAGAGACATCTTGGTGTTGTAGGAAAATGAAAATTACGGCCAAAATCTCAGAAAAAGAGGGGTTATCGACACAACTGAAATCCCAATATGTGGAGTACTGTGCAAAAAACGTTTGCGTCCGGGATTCGAACCCAGATCTCACTCTTCGGGAGCGTTGCTTTCCGTAGGAGGGTAGCATACGCTCCCGGAAAGAGTGAGATCTGGGTTCGAATCCCGGACGCAAACGTTTTTGCACAGTACTCCACATATTGGGTATACTAAACATCATACCACTGCAAGTGGCAGTCAAATAGAAAGAATTATGACTGACAACTGAAATCGTACGGAGTAGGAAAAC